ATCCATCCCTTTCCAGCGACCGAAATTCCTCCAAATTTTTATCATCAAATCGGACGTATTTCTTGTGTCTTTTCAGCATTGATCATCAGTTTTTACAAATAAAAATATTCCCAGACAACAGTCTGTTCACTATTACTGATCAGGAGTAGCCTTTCACAAAATATTCCCTTCGAAACAGTTTCCTTAGCCTAGTGCATTCGAAGCGTAACCGCCATGCAAGCCGATTTACACCTTGCGTCATTTTTCAAAATCTACGATGGACGGTTAGTGCAATAATTTAAATTCGAAAATATTCAATTGTCTGACTCAAATGTATATATAAGTAATAAACAACAAGTTTATAAACTTCAATGGGAATTGAAGTGGGTCGGTACGTGATCAAATCTTCTGAGAAGGCCTTCGGCCTTCACAGGATTTGATCACGTGACCGACCCACTTCAATTCCCATTGAAGTTTATAAACTTGTTATTTATTTCTTAAATAAAATCTGAGATTAAGTACAAAATTTTGATTTTATGTATTAAATTTTACATCATGCACTGTTCTAGCAAATCGAACATATATAGTAAAATTAAAAATAACCACTTACTTCGCTCTATTCTATACACAAACTCAGGCAACTGATCCTACCTCCGATGTTTTGGAGGTCCATGTTTGCTCTGCTCCTGTTTTGTATTGTTATATGGACTTTGATATGGAATACTGTTCTTTATCTCCATAACTTTCTTTTTTTCATTAAATTTTAAGTCAGAAAACCCTTTTTTACTATAAAAAAAAAAAAAAATGAAAGATTATGAAAATTGTAAGTAACATACTTTTCATATAATACAACTCTTTTTTGTTGATTGAAAATGTGAGTAAAAATGTTTTACATTTTCATGTTGGTTAGCAAAATAATTTAGTATATATAGTCTAATATTTATGGCTTTGACGTCTCTCAGTTGATGCACCGGTGTATTCTATGAAAGAAGTTATCGTTTTAGCTTACATGTAACTGTGCCCTAAGACGTTATGTTATTAAAAAAATTGAAACTGGCTTAAATATTAATTAAGTTTATGACTGTGATAATTTAGAAAAGAATATGGCAGAGACGATTACCATTCTGCAAATATGACGTCATTAATGTGATTCGATTCTGTATTTTTAAAAGAAAAAGCCTCAAGAAGGAGGACCAATTTCAACAGTAATTTTGCCTTAGAAAATAGTGTCCACAGCCGTCGCCCATTTTGATTTTCTGAAACGTTGTTCAAAACAAAAAAAAAAAAACAAAAAACAAAAAAAAAAAAAAAAAACAAAAAGCCATATATCTCAAAATCTTTGTGGGCATTTCCTGTGGACAATACCGTTTAAGTGGAAATTTAAGCGAGATGCAAATTTAGTGATTTGTCATCAAAAATTGTGTTTTATTTTAAGCAAGAAGTTATTTTAGTGATTCTAAAATGCTCACTTAAGAAGTCATAGCAAATAAGAAGCAGTTAATTTTTAGCAATATTTAATTTAAGCGATCTCCGCATCCTTGCTTATAATGCCAAAATTAAATCCTTAGTAAAAATTCTGCTTATACGGTATTTTCTGAAAGAATATTCAACTGAAAATTCGTGTCTTCTGCAACTTATGAAGAAAATACGGGAAAATGCCCATGTTTCTGACGTCACAATTTTATAACACATGGGAGAAAAATGATTTGTATGATATTTTCTTCAGGGAATTTCAATGATTCACAATGCATTAGTTTTCATCTTTCACACCAGTTTCATTTTTCAGAAAATCACAGGGCAAGATATTATAGAAACCGTACCTTTTTCTTGATTAATTGTGATGATTAATTCAATCGCAACTAGGTTAAGGGCTAACCAATGGTATATCAGTGTATGCAGAGCCTCAGCAATACGATTATGACGTCACATTGAAATTGTACAAATGAATCTCGGCGAATAAATAATAATTATCTTTAATATACTATTAATCATAATATACTCTTATATACTTTGATTTCTTATAATTATTGTAAATTTAAATCAATGTGTAACTTATCTTGTCATTATAACACTATTTGAATGTAAAATCAAAGCCGACTTGATCTCGCTGTACTAACAGATATGACGTCATAGGCTTGTTTGACAAGCAGTTTCTCTGTACCTGAGACGCAGATCAAGCTATTAGTGGAACTGAAATTATGAAAATTAAAACTAAATGAGCGTGATCTGACTGAAATTGATTCATATTTTTGAAAGCATTAATCAATACTTCACTGTCTTATTTAATAAATAACTATTAGGGTCTCTTATAAAGCTGCAGTCATGCACTTTTATACAGAAACGTACTACAATCACAGGTACAACCCCTCCAAAATCTCAAAAGTTCAACGATATCCGCTTGATTATAAATTATAATACACGTGTAGCTACTGTCCCAACTATTTAGAAAAGTGCTGGGAGCAAGTTGTGCGCTGTTGATTTTTTTCTGTAGTTTTACATTTCTTCAATGCGTATAGTGTAAATGCACATTGTTTATCAAAAGTCGGCTAAATTTTATATAATTCCCGGGCATGGAGACATTGCTCCCAGCACCTTTCGGGTTAAGAAATTTGTCTTAAAGAAAACACAATCAATATCATAGTGAAAAATTATCCGTATATCGTTGAACTTTTACGATCTTTGTATCCGTACATATTTTTCTAATTTTAAACATGTCACGTGACAAACAGCTGATGTACGTGAAGTCGCTTTCGCCGAATTCGGTCGAGACCCCATACATACATATAAATTAGTATAATTCCCAATAAAATTAAAACTCAAAATAATAAAAAAAATAACAACATTACACTGCATGAAAAGTCGGGTTTAATTTTACCTTAAATGTGATTTAAATGCTGCGATTATTTAATGTTTAAATGCATATTATAACATTATGTGGGATCGTAAATGTTAGAAAATAATTAGCATTTAATACGAGTTTAATGAAAAATTAAAAGAACAAATTTAATAAAGTTTGGAAAATTGTAAACTTACTAATACGTACGGATTTTAGTCTGCCGTAAACAATTATTATACCTCTAATATACAAAACGTATAATTATTATTAAACATGGCCATAAAATTAAGTTTTACGGCCACATTAAATTTGTTCGTTTAATAAAATTTAACGTAGATCTTTACCTCATTATTTTTTATAAAATTCACACTTTACTTTATAATACTTCCAAAAATAAAGTTATATACGGAGAATTGTAAACTTACTAATACGTGCAAATTTTATTCTTTCATAAACTATTATTAAATCTCTTGTATCTGTGATCAAAATGTACGGATTAAACCTTCCCATATAATTAAGATTTAAGGTTGTATTTGATGAAATTTAACATTATTATATTATTGCATAATATTTTTATTTTACATTTATTCCATCAATAATTTGTATGGTTTACAATTGTGGGTTTTTGGCAAGTATTTTACAATCTTACACAAATCCATTTCTCATTCAATTTTATTAAATGTTATCTCAATAGTGTACAAACAATGAGTTCTAACAAAGTACAAAATATTTCAAATTTAAGCCTAAAAGACAGAATTAAAAAATTTACAATCATGATTGTAGCTCAATTATAATGGAGTAAATTTCTACATACTAGTAGTAAGTAATATACTGAAGTAATTATAAATAATATAAGAATAGTATTGTATGTAAAATTCAAATCCGCAATAAATTAAAACACAACAGGTAAAAAATGTAGTCATTCTGGACTCCAAAAGACTGCAAAATCTGACTGAAACTGCCCCTATTAAAACTTCTGCATGGGTTGTAAATGGCTTTTCAATTTCCCACAATAAATTATATCATACTTTGCATAAAAAGAATAAAAAGTTGCCAATAAAAGTTGTCCATTCTTTTTACATGTACATTTTAATAAGACACACTAAGCCACTAACAGAGAAGCCTCACTCGCCCACAAGCAACAGCAAAAGGATCGGTCAGAGACACCACCTTTCTCTTGCTTGGGTATCAAGATCTGCAACTTACTGCCAGCAAAGCTCTTTTAGACCACCCTTATATTGTTTCCCAAGTATTTCAACAATAGATGTCAATGCACTAATTATCCAAGTTCAACTTGAAAAATACTTAATGTTGACTGTGAAAAATACAAGACCCAAAAAAATCCTTTATATCAATTGGTTATGTCAATTCAAAATAAGGAAAAAGTATCACAATTACACAAACCAATAGCAGCTTAAATTTGTTTACAATACATGTAGCTCATTTCTGTTCCAACTGCTACATGTAGGTTTATTGCTTGATGATTGTAATATAACATATCCTCATTAAATCAACGTTACATTGGAATGCAAAACATTTCAATAGTGATATTTTCAACTTTGCTTTAAAATATCAAAAATGAGCTCTGAAACATGCACATAAAAAAGTCCTGTATAAACATATGTAAAAGTATACTTAACATTTTTTTAAACCTTAATTACAATTCCATAACTCATAATTCATAAACTCTCTTACTTCAAATGGAAGGAAACAAATTAATATTTTACTCTTGCAATTCTCATTTATTTACTCTTGCAATATCAATTGTGATATTTATTAAAATCATAATTCACCCCTTTTTTACTCAGAAATGTCTCTACCTCATTTGCCTATTCTATTTTTTACATCTATGACTCACTTAGCCACTGGCAGAGAAGCCTCACTCGCCCACAAGCAACAGCAAAAGGATCGGTCAGAGACGCCACCTTTCTCTTACTTGGGTATCAAGATCTGCAACTTACTGCCATCAAAGCTCTTTCAGACTACCCTTGATCATGATTGTCTTATTTTTTCCACAATAATGTCCATGCACTTATTATTTAAGTTAGACTTGTACATATATGTGATGTATAAATCAAGATTAAAATGTATGTGATTGCAGACCAATAAATGTTTAAACAATAAAATACATAACAGTTTTAATCTGTAATCAAGCATAAGAAAAAACTTTCACTGTCAAAAATACAACACTAGGTATATTTTTCTTATCTAACATTGAGTTTGTGCAAAACAGTAGCAACTCAGATATTTCATCTCTAATAGCTCATCTCTGTTCAATTAATACATCCATAGGTTTGACTCTTTTAGATTCTTTATTTGTCCTAGTTCTTCTTATGCTCTGCCTTTTAGAGTGCTTTGATTTGAGAATGGCACTTTTGGTGTCCTGTTCTTTAAAGACATTCTCACATTCATCAGAACGCAACTTCAGCTTTCTAATTTCATAGATAGTATTATCTTTAGAATCATTTTTTGTACTATGAAGATGTAATCAATATTTAAAACTGCTTTTTCTTGCTTCTTCTTCTCTTCATGCCAAGAAGTTTTCAGCTCTGGAGAAGCACCCCTAGCTCCTAATTTCTACAATAAACATAAAAATAAATACCCATTTGCCTATATATACATATTATATGTGTGCTTCCGGATTTATGCAATTGCATATATTAAATAGTAAACACAAAATCTGAGTTGATTTTAAAATTATCATTTGACCTAGAGGAAACACAGCTCAATTTTGCTTAATTAAATATTTACGGAAGACTACAAAAGATATGCCATTTTTTCAAATCTGGGTAATAAAGACAGTTAATTATCTATATTTTCAGGCCAGCGAGCTACAGATTTCGAAGCGTGTAAATTTGGGTCTAATGATTTTTTTCACCATCTTTTTTTTGGAGCATTTTACCTGCTTGACCTTGAACATGTTGAGGTGCCCTTTTCTCTGCTCCTCCACACTAATTCTTTCATTTAGCAGCAAGATACTATGGATATGGTAAAAAGCTGTCATAAACAAAATATGAAAAATTAATAACAGGTGTGGCTCTCCATAGAAAGAATATACAAAAAAGGAGAAAAAATATACAAACAGGGTATACTTATGACTAACATGACTACAGCAAGAAGATAACATTTTACGCAATGAAAACAATTCTCTGTGTCATCTAGTTAAGTGAATTGCATAAAAAAAAATTATAATTATATGTATAGATCAAATTTATAGACGACAAAATATGATATGAAACATACATAATGGTACCGTAGTCCGAGCACATGAAATTTGAAGATTTACAAAGTTTAGGAAAATGCAAAGAATAGCATTTACAGCATTTATCATATTTATACACACATATATATAGTTTCACAGCAGCAAGCTGCAGAATTTGTGGAAGTACATGTAAATTGGGGACTGGTGACTTTTTGCCATTTTTTTTAGCAATTTACCAATGTATTTACCTGCTTGACCTTGAATATGTTGAGGTGCGCAGCCCTTTTCTTCGTGTTCCTCCACGATATTTTATTAAATGTAGCAGAAAGATACTATGGATAAAAAAAATATGAAAAATTAAAAGCAGGTATGGCATCTCGTAGAAAAAATATACAAACAGATGTATTTATGATATAAAGCAAGTATATAACATTCATACAATAATAAAATCCTCAAACTTTGTGATCTAGTACATATTATGATATGTATTATATTAAATTTAGAGACGACAAAACATGATATGAAATGGGTGTACATACTCGGAACACATGGAATTTAAGTGTAAACTTAAATGCAAAGGTTAGCATCTACAGCATTTAACATGCAAGTTATTGGGATAATGAACAAGTGATTTAACATAAAGTAAAATATATTAACAACTTACACTGTAGATAGCAAGTTTTTTAAGTGGACAACAAATGCAAACTTCCAGTAAATGGTGGCAATCTCATACAGAATAAGTTGTACAACAAATGATTAGTTTGTACCTCATACTGGGTAGCCAAATATCTGGTCAAGTCACTTTCAGGAAGAGAGCCTCAGCAAGTTCAATGTTGATCATTCCCATAGCTACTTCAAACTTTTCTGGCACAATTTCTGAAAGAAAAGATGTATCTTGCAGGGATTTTTATTCAAACTAGGAATAATTCTCATGAATGTAAAAATTTGAAAAGTTTATAGATGACCGACGAATACCAGACACAGAACAGAAAACTCGCTCGGGTCTTAAAATGGCTCAGGTGAGCTAAAATAAATCAATTCATGTGATTTTATTGATCTTATCAGAAAATTTAAGAAATCTTACCGTTGTGTTAATCTTCATACTGCTTTTGTCATTTCTTGTGAGCATTTGGATTCCTGTAAATAATGCATGCATAATTGTGCATCATAGAATGTGATAGCTATTTTTAATAATTCATGCTTACGTATTTAACGTAAAAAAATTATGCATAGCTCAGAATCCATTGCTATTGTATTTTTAGGATAAGGAAAATAAGAATATAAACCTCGTATTGTCTACTTGGTATATACATGTAGCATTTCAAGTTGTTGCAATATTTTTTATACTCTTATGCATAAAGATACAAGTTAATAAAACATTTTATATTATTTGTGATAATAGAAAATTTGAGCGGTATGGTTCTCACCATTTTCACAAGCTGTCTACATAGCCGGCGTTATGGGGAATCGTCTCAGGCACAGTCCACACTGCAACTATTTAAATAATCAAAATAAGTGCTCAATATATTCTTGAGTAGGCATTAAGAAATAAATAAATAATTAATTATACCCTTTATAATTTATTACATTGTACAACACTCTCTGTAAATGCTGAACAGGGGAACACTTAAGTGACAAAAATTCTGAAACCAATCCTAAAATCCATCTTTAAGTAAGATGGTTAAAAGTGTTAAATAATTATTACAAAATGTAAATAGGGCTTGCCCAAACGTTTTTACTGCCAGGCATTTTATGTGTACAGCCCAGACTAAGGAACAGTAACATTATCAGTAGCAGAGGGAATTATTCATTCAAGGACACATGATAAAATTTTGTACAGTGTTCCTACCGCTAAACAGGGTCGTAAATGTCTTCATCTTCTGTTAAAACATAAATTCCATCCAAAGTTTATCATGCTTCTCCTTTTCGAGTAACTCTCTTTCGCCCCTTCCTCCCGTACAACATCATTATCAAATTCAACATGGCTGCGTGGAACTCTCCAAAAAATTGAATTTCGGCGCGGTGTGTTGTTTTTAAATAAATTGCTTTTCGAGCCCGACTTCGATCCCGATGTAATTGTACTACAGTGGCAGTCGATAGAGAAAAAACTAAGTTATATTCCACAGTTTTGAAAAATCTACATAAGGGTTAAATAAATAAAAATGAGAAATAAATAAATTAAAATGAATAGGGTGCCTAAATATTTTTTTTTCAAAAATGTTTCAACATAAGTTTACATTAGGTATAAAGAATTATTTATGACATATTCAAAATACCAAAAATGTACTTAAACTTTAAGTATAAGCATATTTACTTTTACATGTCGATATTCTTAAACGGGACGTATAATTATCTCAATTAAACTATATTATTCTCGACGTATTTTGCATTAAATATGATTATACTTATTCGAAAACTGTATTTAATTATATCACAATATATCTCATGTAAAATGTACCGTTATACATGAATTAAATTCAATACAAGAAATTTACTGGAGTAAACGAATTTATTAAATTATATTAAACGCGACTTTTCATGCAGTGTTATATTGTTTTTTTTCGGAATATTTTAAGGCATATTTCCTATGGGCGGCCTTAACCTAGCTGCGAGGCTTGTTAAATTTATAATGCCGTGTTACAACGCAAAATGTAATAACAACGCGAAATGTAATAAACCCGGATTATTATATTTTGCGTTATTACATTTCGCGTCGAGATCAACGCAAAATGTAATAACGCAAAATGTAAAAACACGATTTTTAGATTATTACATTTTGCGTTATTACATTTTGCGTCGAGATCAACGCAAAATGTATGAAGGTGCTTTTTCGTTGTTACATTTTGCGTTATTTTATTTTTGCACTTAAGACAACGCAAAATGTTATAAAACAATATGTAATACATATATAAAAATATGTAAAAAAAAAAAAATAATAAAAATAAAAAAAACAAATTAAGATTATTTTTTTTTTCTTGTCTTAGTCTTATTGTCTTATAACAATAAAGATTAAAAAAAATTGATTCAAATATATACATGTAACCAAAATTGGAAACACACTATAAAAAATATTTAGAAGTAAAACAATGAGATCAAAGCTAGGGCTTTTACGGACATAAATACATCTAAATGTATCGTTTTACTTACTCTGATTTTGTTATATTGGATACACTGTGCTTAATTATACAGAATTAATTTAACTTTGATTGGGATAATATTATTTTTGATAGTTTGATTTTTGATTAAATTTATAACCAATAACACATATTCAACTACCAAAGAGTGACCATAGTTTCAATAAAAGCTCTTGATATGCATGTTCGGCATGCATACATTGGTTAACAAATTAGAAGTGTATGTGTGTTTCAAGCGAGGGGAGGAGGGATGGACAGGAATAGAGTGGGGTGTTTACTTTGTATGTTTATAACTGTATTACTGTGGACACGCAGAGACAATCCATTTTATCATTGGATGGAAAAAGAGAATTTTGTTTTTGCTTGTCTGCAATGCTGGTGATTTGCATGGAACAGTATGGTATCATTATTGTTAATAAACCCCTTCCCGGTCTATATTATTTTACATCTGCCAGTACAAATTAGTATTTTTTTAATTCATTGCATTTCTCTATTGAAAAAAGCAGAAGCATACTGGTCAAATTACCCCCCAACAACCCTGCCCACACATGCATGTTTCTAATTTAACACCTATACTTTAAATGCATTTATTAAATTGAATTTTATTCATGTAGCTAATTCAGTCAATATATTATACAATCTCTTAATTGTCAGAAATTGCATATATCTATTTTTTCCTTTTGTTTTATTTTCTTTATTGTAGTTTTTCGACCACTACACTATTGAAAATTGTACTCAATCTGGCTGACGAAAGAAAGGGTTATTACATTTTGCCTTCTTGCCTTTTGCTTTATCTTGACCCAATAAGTAATAACGCAAAATGTAATAATCCAAAAATCGTGTTATTACATTTTGCGTTATTACATTTTGCGTTGATCTCGACGCAAAATGTAATAACGCGAAATGTAATAATCTTCAGATGTGTGTTGTTACATTTTGCGTTATTACATTTTGCGTTGATTTCGAGGCAAAATGTAATAACGCAAAATGTAATAATCCAGGTTTATTACATTTCGCGTTGTTATTACATTTCGCGTTGTAACAATGCCGTCACTAATTTGTCTAATTACATTTGTTATTAATGTTATTATTTATAAGATGTTTAAAACGGACTACAATTGGTTGTATTCAAACTTCATCTAAAAGAAATATCAGGACTCTACGGAAACGTATAACCGCCCCGTGTTGTTGTTTTAGAACACGATTTGATGATATAAAAATGTTGCCAAATACAATTACTTCAAGGTTTGGTGATTTAATTATGACAACAATCTCTGATGAATAATACTTTTCTGACATGTTTTGGACGACTTATACACTATGATATATCCAAGGCGAATTTCTAAATGTCGCACTAAAATAATGTGTAAACATTATGCCGCTTAAATTAGATATCGCAGAAATTAGTGCAATATACTATATATGAAGATTTCGCTTAGACGACTCGATTTAATCAAAGAGCAAAATTCAACAAAATTTGAACGACATGTTACATAAAATGTATACAAGATAGAAGATTTTATCAGTCCAATTTGGCCCCCTGAAAGAGCAAAAAAGATTTACAAACAAAAGGAGGAGGAGGATCAAATTTTTTGAACATTCATGATAATGAGAGCAATTAATAAAAATGCATGTAAGAGATATACTCAATATACATAAGTGTATTGTATATGTTATAATAAAACCATAGTCAAAGGCAAGAAACTGGGAAAAAAGTACATTATACTAGCAAGTGATCTAAGGATGCCAGGGTCTTCATTAGTCATGAGCCAATAAAATTGATTATCATAAGTTAAAGACTGAAAAATTTTACATTTAATTTTACGAATATTTATGTGTTCAAGTCTTTGTACATTACGATGAGGACATACAAGGAGAAAATGAATTTTATCCTTAATATAACGTATTGCATTGAATTGATGTCTGATTTAAATAAAATAATTCAAATAGTTACAGTATCCTTGCAGGCTCTTCCCTAAATAATAAATCTCATGAATGTTGCTTCAAAGGACAGTCACTATATTTGATAATACTTGCACTATTCAAACTATGATAACGAAATCTTTAATCATGTTCTTAGCTTGGAGAACATACGCAGAAATATATGCATCATATATTTTCGTCTGATGTGATGTCATGCATTATTAAAAATGACCTCAAACTATAGAAAATTCAAAGAGAAAGTTGTATATTTTCTTTGATAATTCAATTGGAAAAAATTGATCGTACGTCTGCACATACTCTTATGTATTTTTTTTACATGATGTGAAGATTGATAAAATGAACGAAATGATTTGCATTTTGTCCTCTTTCTTTCTAGAGATAACACACAAGCTCATTATAGTTAGTGCTGTCACAGGCACAACCCCCCCCCCTCCCTTTCCTCTCAATCGTGCTTTGATTTATTTGATAAATTAAGATTTATGTTATAATTTATACAAACATATATTATAAAGTTGTTCTTTGAGTACATTTAAAAAGCAAATATATATAAACAACATATAAACAATTATAACACTGTAAATACTGCTAATTTATTTTTAATTAATTCTGAGAAAAAAAAAATCATTGCGACAGTGCTAAATTTTAGATTTTTTAAAAAATTAAATCAATTTCGGAAAATGAAAATCAGGCCCGTAGCTACGGTTTTCAAAGAGTGGCTCGGGTCCTTAAAAAAGCACACACACATCGATTTAATACAATAGTGATTATTAATAAATCTGATGTTACAAGACGTTCTAATTTTGTTGAATTTTGCTCTTTGATTAAATTGAGTCGTCTAAGCGAAATCTTCATATAAGTTACATTGCACTAATTTCTGCGATATTTAATTTTAGCGACATACTTTTTACACATTATTTTAGTGCAACATTTAGGAATTCAACTTGGATTTATCAAAGTGTATATGTCGTCTAAAATATATCAGAAAAGTATTATTAATCAGAGATTGTTGTCATAATTAAATCGCCAAACCTTGAAGTAATTGTATTTGACAACATTTTTATATCACAATACCGTGTTCTAATACAACAACACGAGGCGGTTATACGTTTCCGTAGGACTCTTCTGCATTTAAGAAGGCTTCATGTATTCCTTTTTGCCATTAAAAATACTTGGAAAATAACAGAAATAATGGAATGATTTAATTTTTTTAGGGATCTTTTCGGTAATTGGAAAAAAAATTGTCTGGAACCTTCTTTATTTATGACGGCTGTATCCATATCTTTTATGTGATAAGATTAATTGAATAACAACTGAATGCGACACATTTTCTTCATGTTTTGTAGGGATCTTTCCAGGAACAAAATTACCGTAATACAGGACAATGCCTTCAATGGTTTACAAAAACTTTCTAAACTGTAAGTATTTACTCAGTTTGACATTCTGTATATGAACTTATTTTAATTACTAGGTAGCAGCACGTACATATGGGAATGTACCTTACCATTACGTTTGCAAAAATGTCTTTTCCCCATACATATTCAGAACCTGCCCCCCGGATCATGAAACAGGCTAAGACTTAAGTAACATTTTCAATCACCTGTAAAATATTTATTAAATACTTAAATAATCTCAAAATTTGGAAATGACAACACTACAGTGAATTAATATTTTAAAAAAAATTAAGTTTGTTCTGGTTGACTTCCACAAAATTTAAGTAAAGCATGACGATTTTGCCTTCAGCTTACGATATTTCATGATTTTGGGGTCAAATATAGCTAGATCAAATAAATCCCACAAACAATAGAAGTCTTGGGGCATACACGGCATAAAACACGGCTTCTCCAAAATTTTTAACAGTAAAATTGTGTAACAAGGAGAAGTGAGTACCTCTTCTCGATTTCTCAAACCCACATGAAACCCAGCAAATCTATCGACATTTCTTTCTGAGGAAATACAGAGAGGAAGAGTATTTTGCACGAAGTTTATACTTTCCTTGAAACAAT